CTTTTTCAGAACACCGGTAGACGGCAGCCATTACAGACGAACATGTTTGTTGTTGTTAGAGGAGTGGCCCGGTCACATGCTAATGTCATTATTTCGTTATCATTACTGAACTGCAGGACTGCCTTTTTTTCACATCATGTCACCTGCTTGGATCTGTTATTATCTCATTCTGAGGCACGAAGGAGTGTCAGAGGTAAGCTCGCTTCAACTGCTTTTTACATCATGGTCTCATTTCTGGACTCAGGCATTTTGTGAATGAAGCTGATATTTCAGTTAAAATACATAAGTAAAAATATTTATCCGAGTATAATACTACATTTATGGATGATTTTATGGATTTAATTTTACTTATTATATTTCAATAAATAGGGTATAGACAAGCATGTTAAAGGTAAAGTTTATAAGACCACCTCCAAGCAGCTTAATGTTCCTGTGACTACAGTTACACATATTATTCAGAAATTTAAGATCCATGGGACTGTATCCAACCTCCCTGTACGTGGCCACAGGAGGAAAACTGATGACAAATCAAAGAGACGAATGGTAACAGAAGAGCCCAGAAAAACTTCTAAAGAGATTAAAGGTAAACTTCAACCTCAAGGAACATTAGTGTCAGATCTCACCATCCATCATTTGAGCCAAAGTGGACTTAATGAGAGATGACCAAGGAGGACACCAAATCATAAAAATACATCATCAGTGAATCAAATAGGACACAATAATTGTACGTTATATTTACTGTCATAATTGTGGAATTTAAAATGAGTCTTGGGTTCATATGTAAACCAGTTTTGTTTTACAAAACATCTGTTAACAATTAGTCGACATAAATGATGTTGATGTGTGAAGATGTGCCGACCTGCAAACCACAGAAGAAGTCGCGGGCACATCAAAGAGCGATAATAATGGTGTACAACAAGACGACTGTGTCGAAGAGGCAATGAAAATTAAGACAAACTTTCAAAAGTTGGCTACATTTTACCAAAAAGCAACCGAAGAAAGTAAAATGCMGAATCGATCATTCCATGACAGCAGGGAAAACACTGGAGATGTGATTATGTCCATTACAGGTGAGTAAGTTTCCGAAAGTTAGCCTGTTCATCAGGTTGATGGTCTATATCTTATTTTCARTGACTGATCACATTGTACTAAAATGATTTTCGTTAGTTTCCCATCAGAAAACAATGTTTGTTAGAAGTGAAGCTATCAGTTATGCTGAAGAATTAAGAGCCATCATATTAAATCACTGAATTATGGTAATATTCCAAACTGCATCTTCTACAGTTGTTTTATCCCATTGAAGTCTTATTTAAACATAGGACTGTTAGATTCAGCAAGATTTTAAACACCTGAATGTCACTTAGGGCAGCCACGATTAATCGATTAGTCGACGACTAATCGATTATTAAAATCGGTGACTAATTTAATAATCGATTAATCGTTTTCTTTGTTTTTTCTTTACTTTGTTTTTCTCTCCAAACTGCTTTGACACCTTCCACTGCCACATCTGCCTTTCTGTCCTTGACACACATGCACAGTAGTGGTAACTGAGGTAGGCTGTGGACGTCACAAGACATTATACAGACAGGCTCTAGTATCATGGCTACCTGACAATGGAGCTCAAAAGTGTGGGATCATTTTAAGAAAATGAAAGAGAAACATGTGCAATATCTACAGAGCAGAACTTGCCTTCCATGGCAATTATTTTTAGTTAGCATATAGCTAAAATTTAATGATGGTTATGATAGCAGCTGCATTCTGATGCGATAAGCTCTATGTTTTATATTCAATTAGCGTATGATCCGATTAGTCGACTAATGGAAAAAATAATCGGTGATTAATCGGTTATAAAAATAATCGTTTGTGGCAGCCCTAATGTCAATTTAAGCAAAGTTATTCTTTAGTTTATTTTGGACTCGCAGTGGGGCAGGTTAACAGCTCCTCATACTGGGGAGAGGCTGCTATAGTGAGTTATTTGTACATTAGCTGTTTGTTGCAGTTTAATTTGTATTATATATATTTTTAAATTATGTTTATATGTATTAATCTTAAAATACATCTGAGTACGCGATTAAGCTTAATTTCAAATTTCCACTAAGAGTAGGAAAGAGTAGGAAGACAATGTGCGATTAAAAAAAGTCAGTGAAGGCAGGCAATTCAACAATGTGCACAAAAACAGGCTGTGATCTTTAAACATACAATTCTTGCTTGGATGCAAACAGTCACTTTGTTTAATTTCTCACAATTCTGAGTCCCCAGCTGGTCTTTAACAGTTGCAGCTCCGAGACACACTGGTTTTATAATTTACTGGTGCATCAATGACACAGGTGCTCCATCTGGATCCAATCAGAGACCAGAAACCAGAGTGTGTTTGGTTTRGTATGAAGCAGGTCAGCAGCAGCTGTGGACCTCACCTCACCTTACACTACCCTGAAGCTGACGTTCCGCCTCATTTTCACTCACATGCTATCGCATCCTGAAATATTGGTCCACTCTGAAGAAAGGGACAGACGATATGGCAGGGACAAAAATAGACTCCCCGCAGCGAGATAAGGTCATGTTGCATGATCTTGGTTTACATTTGGAGTATAGTTGTTGTGTCTCTTCTGGCTCAATGACTCAGCTCAGGATTGATTTTCTCTTTTTTTGGACCTCTTAGAAATGAGAAACCAGAAGCAACAAACCTCACCTCTGTGCAGACTGTACGCAGCCTGCAACTTGAGAACAGGGAGAGTCCGACGTTCTCACGCATGTCCCACACAACACAATGTCCTGTTTAGGGGGCACTGAGAGGGTCTTGTGCTATGTGAAGCAGAAACGATCTGCCTGAGAAGTCAGGGAAATCCACTTTTTAAAGCGAAGGCTATTTCTTTAGATTTGAATGTCACTGCACACAGCATTATACCAGAACCGCCAAAACATGACATCATGCTGGAAAAATCCACGAGGGGAGCTGCAAGCTTTTCCAACTCAGCTTTACTGCACATCAATCAGAGCACAGGGAGAAGAAAAGAAAGAACCAACTGGAGCCTCTTGTTTTTTTTCTTTTAAGTGTTCAAAGGCTGCTTAAATGTAAAGAATCAGACATCTGAATTGAACTATGGAGCTTTTCTGCTGAAAAATACCTCAAAAGTGAGGATATATAACAAGTAACGATGGTTAAATCGAATATCAAATCTTTTATAGACAAGTATCCTGTTTTTTTTGAAAAAGTGTAATAAAATTTAGCAAATGAACAGTATTCATTTGCACAAATAAACAACCAAATGTGACTGATTCTGAGACATTCCAGGGATATCATCATTTCTCCCACTCTGTCAGAAGAGCATGCAGCA